CGGGTTAACTGATCTCGATTATGCTGATGATATCGCTTTACTAGCTTTAGCCTTTGGTGATCTACCGTCTGTGGTGGCACGGTTGAACGAAGTTGCTAAGTCGGTCGGTTTGTCCACAAAAGCTAGGAAGACCAAAGTGTTTTCATGCTGCATCACATGTGCCCAAGAGAAGGCGCTTCTCGAGATTCATGGATGTCAACTTGAAGAAGCAGGCAGTTTGAAATACCTTACGAGCGAGGTTGCTGCCGAATGGACGCAGTAAGGATGACATTGTCTCCCGAATCGATTCAGCGCGTAGTTTTTGAAAACTTAGAAAGTGCCTATGGACCCGCCGCGATATTTCTATAGCCACGAAGGTTCGCGTGTACCGTGCATCCGTTCGGTTTGTCCTTCTCTACGGCTGCAAATGCTGGACTATGCACGTGGAAGATGAAGGAAAACTGGAGGTATTTTTCCCTACTGCTTGAGGACTATCCTTCGAGTAAAGTACACCAATTTTGACTCAAATGAGACTGTCCGCACTCCCTGCGACAACATCGCAAGGATATCCCTGGCCACCCAAGAAAGATGACTGGTAGTTTGGACGCGTTCTTCGTCGTCAATCTCACAAGCTCAGTGTAGTGCCCTCGACCCGACACCGCTACCCAATTGGAGACGTCAAAGAGAGTTTCGGCTTAAAACCTGGCTCAACTTAGTCCGTCAAGACATGCAAGTGGTTCTTGGACCTTCCGTATTCGGTCTCCGGTGCTGGTGATGAGAATGGCTTGAACTGTCCAGGTCTGCGGCCACAGATCGTTACGCGTGGAGAAGCACCGCACGGGACATTATCGAGGCCGGCTATATCAGTCATGATCGCAGCCGTAACAAGTACTACAAGCATCTCCCCCTGGAGCACTATTTCATTATTTCACGCAATATACATGAGGAGAGGACGTGTTGGTCACCAGCATTCTGCAAAAGTCACACTTACCACACTGGCAAATTCGTTTCCGCCCAGGTCGAGAAACTCGAGGCTGGAGAGTTGGGCAAACGACTTCGGCAGGGTGTTGAGACAGTTCTCCCGTAGCTCTAACTTCCGCAGCTTTGTAAGCCTAGAAAACAGAAATGGGGCTTTTAACAAGGTACGCGCGGAAGCCATCATACGGCAGCAGAGTCTGCACTGCGCGGTAAAAGAAAGGAGGCTCCACAAGCCAAAGAAAGTCCAGGGTAATAGGCGGAACTGTCGGGATTTTTAGTAGCAGTTATAGCATTTTTTGGGAAGTTATGGTACAAAGCTCCGTTCTTGTATTCGAGCAAAAAAATTCCTTGGATTTACGCAGAAAGTGACAGATGTAGTCAGCAGAGAAGGGTGCTTAGGATGAACATTCCACACACCTATTGTTGCGCATTAGCATGGGGATATTTACCGCATACCTGCAGCACGCAGCTACCTTTTTTCCAGAAATCGCGTTCACATTTTTCGCCTAAGGATTACGGTGATTGTAGGCAAGGAAATTTGCAGAGGAAATACGACACCACTTATATATGTATTTCGAGTATTACGTAGCCTGGCGGTCATAATTAGAGGAGGTGTAAATACCCCCCGAAAGATCAGCTTTCGGTCTTAGCGCTGACTTAAACCAGCGTTGCAATTGCCCGTGACAACACAGGTCACTCTAATTATCATATTTGGCAAGTAAG